ACCCCCCCCCAACTTTATTCAGTGCATGATTGCAACTATTTGGAGCAGCTGCAAGTAATGGTGTGGGTTTGAATAAAGTGTCACAAATTACAGTTTAAAAACAAACCAAAATCAGAAAAAAAACCCCAACCCTAAACCAAAACTCAACCAACCCCACAAACCACTAGCTTCAGCTCACTGACCTTGCTTATCAGACCCTTATTAATTCACTTTGTAGTTGCTTCTCTTAGTGAATATAGGCACTAGGTTAGTGTTTCCTGATTTGCTGGTCACTTCAGTGCCCTTAGTGCAGCACACTGAATCTGCAATGTCTGCTTGTCAAGAAGTGGAGAGCAGCTATCTCTTTGACTTGAACAGAGTTAATCTGGACTTGACCAAGGATAGCACAATATTAATTTGGCAGCAGTTTCCTGCAAGTGAAGTTCCTTATTCTGCAACCGATACAATGCAGTGAATGTATAGCCTGTATGTGGTAGCACAGCTCGGTGAGAAGTGTTGCTTGACAGAAATGTCAGTCTCAGAGAAAGAGAAGATTGAGAATTGGAACTGAAGAGGGGTGGTTGGTTGCTTCCAACTGCCTCCTTGAATGTAAGACCCCCTGTGTGAGTTTATGCATCTCATCTGCTGGGCCACCACTTTCTCATTCTTGAAAATACCTGGCAACTAGAGGTTTCAAAACTCAAAGTAAATGCTAATGTTTGAACTGGAGTTCATTTTCCATTAGGCTTGTCTTCACTAACCTTCTGTAAAGGATTAGGATGTTAGAAGATCTTAAAGTTTGATATCTACTGTTTATTTCAGGCTATGAGGCTTATCCTTGAGCTCTTATGGATATCCTATGTTTTCCTAAAGCTTTTTTAATAGCTTGGTTTTGTATAGGTTGAAAGAATGCTAGAAGAATAGACTTACTCTGTTCTACAATCCTGTCTAAATGAAAAAACTAAAAAAACGATTATATTGAGCAGAACAGATTTTTCTGCTTCATGCATCAGCATTCAATGTCAGTTTATGCAGGCTTTTTTTTTTTTTAACCTTAAATAACTAGGAAGTGTGAGTCATGCTTGGTGTGTCCACAGATGAAGTTAATCTAACAGTTTTTCCAAAGAAGACTGTCTTACAATAGCTTTGTCATTAGCTAGAATCAGTGTCATTCATTGGAAGCAGCAACTTTCAGTTTTTTGGGTTTCAGTCAGTTAAGTCTTTGCTACCTCGAAATTTATTGTGCCTAATCTCTTAATTAACAAAACATGACAGAACTTCACGCATAACACTCAGAAGATGCTAAAATCATGTACGATGTCAGAATAATTAATAATGATTTTTTAAAAATACTCTATTCATTTCCATCATTTCTCTAATTAAACTTTTAGTGGATTTTAGTCAATTCCAGGGGATGAATATAATTATATTGCTCTACAGGAATGAAGAATTGGAAATTGTAGCCCTTTAGATGTCATTTGCTTTAGCTGTGACAAAATACCATCAATTTGAGAGTCTGAAAAATGTAAGATAGAGGAAAATGTCTATAATACTGCCCCTAAATGTAAAAAGTATTTAATGACAAGTATTTAAAGATGGCAATGTACCAATGAGTTACAAACTGCTATGTTTTATTTCTTGGTACAATTAGCTTGGAATATATCATGCTTAAGTGGCGCGTTTGAAGAATCTGTGCAGATGTTTTTGTGGAGAAAAATTATTAGGTTTTCTTTAATAAATTTTTGCACTATCTCAATAGTATTGAAAATGCCACTATACTATTGATGCCACAGAAATTCTGTATGAAAATACAGAGAGAACCTGTAGATGAATGGCGAGGAGATGCCAACTAGACAGTGTGATGAAAAATGTGTTAACATATAACTGCTGGCTCCACTGGAATGAATTATTTCTGATTTAAGCCAACATATGAAGAGTCTAACCTTAAATATTAGCAGAGACATCTGTTCACAGTGTAAGAATACTTAACAGAAGAGTATAGAAACATCGGAATTTCTAATCTGCGGGTGGTGTGTTAATACAACTTTCATTCAAGGAATCATGCCTAATTCTATGCTGCTATTGCAGTTGCCCACTATTATATTTGTGTCCAGGTCAGCTCAGCAGCTCTCAAAGGTGAGGGCGCACAATTTGTGAGCAAAACTTGTTGCTTCACCTAAGCAAGCAGCCAAAGACCATGCAAAGTTTTTCAGCTTTTTGTATGTTACTTATAATATTGGTGAGTCATGCAGAAGCCCTGATGAGTGACCTGCACTCACCAGAGAGGAGATTGCTAGGACACAATCTGCAGCAGGAAAGGGTTCATCTGTGAACAGCAGCTGTGAGATAGGAGACCAGAAAACGTGTTTGCTGAGTGAACAAAGTGGGAACATGAAGGGAGGGAATAGCATGCAATTGGTAACAGGCTTCCTGGAAACAGCAGAGTTAGGTAGGTCAAGGCATGTGATGTGTATATTACTGTAAATCTGTGCACGTAGATTTGTGCACATGCAAAATGGTGCATGTTGCTGCACAGCTTAAACATTGAAAAACATCACAATCTATTGTCTGCTTTAAACACTGAACTAGGTCCATAGCTGGTAGAAGGTAATGAACTTCATGAAGAGCTCTGCAGGTATGTACTATCTCAACTCTCACATTGGGAGTGATTGTCCCAGTTGCTGTGATACTTCAGCTACATGAGCTATTCTTGAATTCCCAGGATACTTCTCTGTATCTATGTAAGCTTACAATTTACATATATTTTTAGCCACAGGTTTTAAATAGCCAAGATGAGTCTTCCTAAGATCAAGCAAGACCAAAACTTACTCCTAAAGTCCTGAAAGTCTCTATGGATATGTTACAGATGTGTGTTGTGATGTGTGGGTACGCAACCCTTACATTATTCCCGGCTTGCTTTGGCTAACACAGACCCATTTCTATCAAGTCAGAAACTGGGTTTAAAAGGAGCATTTCCCCCTGAAAAAAACCAAACCCCAAAATAAGAGGGACAGTTTTTGCTGTTTAGAAAATTGAAACATTTTCCAAAATAATGGTTTGTACCTGTCTCTAGAAGAAAAAAAAAAATCTTGAAGCAGTGGGTCTTCATGTGCTTCACTGTACCTCAGCAGGAAAAAAAGGTATCTGTGAAAGCAGATCTTTTAGCAAGGAAGGGGCAGCTAGAGTATTGCCAAGTTGTCATCTTCCATGTTTTGTTTCTTCATTCATTGGTAGATGTCTAGTGAGCTTAGAATCTCCATAACTTTGAAAAGTCTCCCTTAGTTGCCCTCATTTGAGAATTTTTTTTCTTGATAAATACAGACAAAGAAAAGGGAAGGAACAAAGCCTCTTTGAGGAAAAAAAAAAAAAAAAAAAGAGTAAAGGATGGAGCTTTTTTTTCACTTGGACTAACTGAAATAGTTGTCGCTTTTCATCTTTTCAAATGCTCCTTCCCCAGTCCACCTGTTTTGCTCAGTGTCTTTGCATTAATGTGAAATACCAAGCGATGAAATTGGACAAAATGCATTTTGTAAAGCAATGCTCATGCATGATACCTTTTTCATTAATTTTATTTTAAATTTATACCAGACTCTTCCAAATGTAGCATAACCACAAATACTTTTTTAGAAAATGTGCTAGCTTGTTCTAACAGACATTAATATTAGTTACTAGACTGAGATAGAGCAGAAGTTGTTAATGCTTGCTATTCTAAAAAAATAAAAGCAGAAGCTATTTCACTTTGCTATTCAGCACTCCTGTTTCAGTGGAGTATATGCAGGCGGAGATTCTGACTGGTGTAATGATGCTGTCACCTAGGATCTGATCCTGCAAGGCACTAAGCAGTGCAGACCTCCCGTTGTCATGGTAGAAGTAAGAACAGTCAGCATGTTGTAGCATTTGGACCTTTCAACAATCAACAGTAGCATGAGGCAAAAGAAAATTTGATCTTGTATGGGAAGGGTTGGTTTCTCTTTTCACTACAAAGGTATTCAGTTAATTGATTTTTGTATCTTTATATGCAAAGGTAAAGCACAGCCTTCCTCAATAGCTCAAAACACACTAATTTTAAATGAGAGAAGTTTCAGCCACCTTGGGTTTAGCTACTGGCTGTGTATGACTAAAAGTGTTATGTGTCATTCTGACCCCAACATACTATACATGTACTTATTAATGCGAGGGTCAACCACTATTTCATTACTCTCTAGCACTGGTTTAGAACAGAGGGTTTAATTTGGTTTTAGCTAAAATTTAACTGCTCCACCACTAAATGGGTTCCATGCTTTTCTGAAACCTGTTCTCTTCCTAGAGCAATTTCACATTAAAGCTTTAAATTAGAAAATAATTTGCACACTCTTAAATATTTAAAAACAGTAATAAAAAGGTTAGTTCCTTCTAAAATAAACACAACATTTGAAGCAGAATAATATTTTAATAAAATTAAATCTAAGTATTCACAAAGCATTATGCACATACAGTACATACTGTATTTAAAGCCTAAGGACCTTAAATCATTTTATTCTAATGTAGTCAGCTTTGGACACAAGCTAAGCTTACTTGTTTTTGTAATAAGAAAATTTACAATTGTTCCTGAAAGTGATTTTACATATATACATATATATATATCTATATCTATACTCCTACACGTAGGTGTAGGTATATACACACACTTGTGTGTATGTGTATATATAAAAATAAATATATACACACATACATACACACATATGTACATATATAAAATACACACATGCACACATACAGGAATGTGTGCGTGGTGTATGTGTGTCCACATACATCTATACCCTATAGGATTATTGTAGAGGGGCCAGTAAGTAAAAAAAAATAACTGCAAGCAATCATCTTAATAATTATAAAACAAAACTGTGTATTTTTTAATTAAACAGATTTCTAATAATTTGCTTAGAACAAAAGGAACACAGTCTTCTGTA